TTGTACAACCAAAATACACAATAAGGAAAGTAAAAAAAAAAAAAAACCTGGCAAAATGAAGGGGTACATATATAAGAAATATTTGCAATTTATACATTAAAAGTTGATATGCCTGCTATGAAAAGAATCTCTAAAATTTCAATGAAAGTCCAAACCAAATAGAAAAAATCAGAAAATAGAAAAATACAGGACCCCTGTAAACTCAGAGAAAGATAATTTCTCTCATAATTCAAGAACAGCATTCTTAAGCTATATTTAATATACCATACTGATGTATCAGACTAGCAAAATTCTGGCAATATACTTAGTTATATAGGCTACAGATAAACAGGCACTCTAACATCAGCTTAAACACAAAATGTCATAACTTTTATGGAACAGATGTCAATAATTACAAAAATTACATATGCATTTTACTCTGACCCAGAAAGCTCCCTGGAAAATGCATAAACAAAGCTATTTTTGTAGCGTTATCTATAACAATAAGTAGTAAATGAGAAATTGGTTCAATATAGTACACACTGGGCATCAGAACTGTGGAGTGCAAACCACCTGTAAAAAAATGAAGAAAAGGAGATATCAAAACACCAGAGAAAAACTAAAGTGGACTTCATCAAAACTAAAACCTTTTGCGCCTCAAAGGATACAATCTAGAAAGTGAAAAGACAGTAACAGAATGGTCAAAAAAAAAAAAATTACAAATCACATATCTTTAAAAAATAAACTACTTAGAATAAAGTATTCTTGCAACTCAATAATAAAAAGATAAATAACCCCATTAAAACACAAAGATTTAAACATTTTTCAAAAAGATACACAAAGGACCCATTAGCATATAAAAAGATTCTCAGCATCATCAGTCACTAGAGAAATACAAGTAAGAACTATGACATCCACTTGACAACCACTAGGACAGCTACAATTTTTTTTTAAAAGACAATAACGAACAGTAGCAGAGATACAAAGAAACAGGTATCATTATATGCTACTGGTAGGATTGGAAAATGGTGCATTTGCTTTCAAAAAACAGTTCAGCAGTTCCTCAGAAAATTTAGAGCTGTTATATACCCCAGCAATATTGTCCATGAGAATTTACAACATGCCCACACAAAAACAGATACAATGTATATTCACAGCCCTGGTATTCCTAATGGTCAAAAAGTGGAAATGGCCATCAACTTCTCAATGGATAAACAAAATGTGTATTTCAGTATCCACTGGAATGTTATTCACACAGGGCAATATTATTCAGCCATAACAAGGAGTGAAATAATGACATACTACTAACACAAGCTGCAAAATGGAAAAATCTTAAAAACATGCACAAAATTTAAAAAAAAAAAAAAAAAAAAGACCTCTTAGGGGTGGGGACATAGCTCAGAGACACAGCACCTGCTTGGCAAGACCGAGGTCACAAGTTCAATTCCTGGTACCAAAAAAACCCCTCTTAAAAACAAGCATAAGAAGCCACACATAAAAGACTACACATTATATGATTTCACTTATAGGAACTGCCCAGAATAGGAAAATAAATTCAGAGACAGAAGGTAGATAAGTGCTTGACAGGGGCTGGAGAAGAAGAGAATGGGGAGTGACTGATGTTATGTTAGGGCTTTCCTTTGGGAGGTGGTGAAAATGTTACTGAATTGGGTAATGGTAATGGTTGCAGTACCTTGTAATTATACTAAAAACCACAGAATGGTTCACAAGACTTACTGGAGACAAGTCACTTGTCACTTTGTTCAGTTGAGGATTCAGGAAGGGATTATCTTTGTAGCTCCTATTAAAAATTATCAATCTAACAAACTACTTTCACATAATGATTGCTGATTTTTTTTTTGGGGGGGGGGAATTTCTCTGGTACCGGGAATTGAACTCACGACCTGTGCTTGCCAGGCAGGCGCTGTGCCACTGAGCTAAATCACCAGCCCCTGATCGCTGATTTTTAGATGTGTCTCCCTTTACTTATTCTGGTACATTCCCCACTCTCTAGGAAAACAGCTGCTCTCTGCTTTTGTTGTTACTATTATTAACTTTAAAAAACAGCTACAATGGAAATGTTCAAACAAAAGTAAAGGGAGTTATAGGAATAGCTTCTGCTAAAACACTATTAATATTTCATTGCTTTACTTTTATTAGTACAATTTGCAGAACATGTTTATGTTCGTTGTGGGGAGTTGGTACACCCACATATCTGAAGTCTTTTTTTATCCCCTTTCCCTCATCTCCCCCCCCTTCCCACCATCACTTGATCTCATCTGAAAAAACTTTATCTCCCTACTTCCTGTTATGTAACTTTATTTTGTGCTTTTTACTTATATTTTGGGTTCTCACCTAAGAGAAACTATGTGATATTTAAGCTTGTATGTCTGATTTACTTCCCTTATGGTAATGGTCTCAAAGTACATTTATTTTCCTACAAATGACTCAAGTTTATCTTCCTTTATGACACAGTAGTGCTTCACTGTGTCTAACTAACACAACTTCTTTATCCATTCATCTTTGAGGCCACTTCCAAGATGTAGCTACTATGAATGTGCTACTATGAGTATGCATGTATCACTGTAATATACCTTTAACTCTTTTGAGAAGATAACCAGAAAGGCAATAGCTCAGTCAAATAAAATTTCTAGTTTTAGTTCTCTAAGGAATCTCCATACTGGTTTCCATAGTGGTTGTCCTAGATAACATCCCTACCAACAAGGTAGAAGGGTTCCTTTTTCCTGCAGTCTCACCAGCATTTGTTAATATTTGATTTCTTGATCATGGTCATTATTTCTGGCATAAGATGGAATCTTAGTGCTGTTTTAATTTACGTTTTGCTGATAGCCCATAATGTTTAATATTTCTTCATGTATTTATTCACCATTTGCACTTCCTCTTCTGGCAAGTGTCTATTCATTTCTCTTGCCCATTTTTCCACTGCGACTTTTATTTGGGGGAGTCTAATTTTTTTTGAGTTCTTTATTCTATAAATTAATCCTTTGAGGAATAGTTGGCAAGTTTTTCCCACTCTGTAGGTTGTTGTTTCATTGTGCTGTGTTTTGTTTTGTTTTTGCTCTGCAGAGGCTTTTTAATTTGGAATGATCCCATTTGTTGACTCTTGGCACAATTTGCTGTGCAACTGGGGTTTTCTGTTCAGTAAGTTCTTGCCTACACCTGTGACTTAAAGAGTATTACCCATTTTACCTTTTATCTCAGATTGTTTCTTTTTCTGTTTTTTGAAACAAGGTCTCATTATGTAGTCTGGTCTTGAACTCGTGTGGATATTCCAGCCTTAGCCTTCCTAGTGCTGGGACTACAGGTGTGTCAACTTGAGAGGTTCAAAGGTTAAAGTGATTCAGCTGGGAGCTAGGGTCCTTACTTTGTAAATATCCCCATCCTGTCTAAGAGGAGGGCATGGAAATTCTGTGAGTGCTACACCCACCCTGGTGGAGGGGGAGGGGTATCCTGCTTACAGTATAAGGGAAGAAAAGAGGCTTACTTTCTCTTTTCTGCTCTTGTTGCTTTTGCTGTCTTCTGCTGCCTTGAAGTGTTGCCCCTGTGCCATGCCACCCTGCTTTGGAGCCAGCCAAGTATGGACTGGAACTGCCACAAACTGTGAGCTAAATAAACCTTTCGTTCCTTAATTTTGGGTGTCAAGTACTTTGTCTCAGCAATGAGAAAAAGTAACTAAGACAAGGCGTATGTCACCATACCTGGCAGACTGTCTCTGATTTTACATTTAGATCCAATTTTATTTTGGTTTAGAATATGGTGAGAGATATAAGTTTAGATTCGATCTTCTACATGTTATAAGTTTTCCAAGAATCATTTATTGAAGAGTTTATCTTTCCTCCTGTATATGTTTTTGGCCCTTTTGTCAAAAAACAAATAATTGAATGTGCTTGGAGTTGTTTCTGCATCCTCTATCCTAGTCCATTGATCTTCATGTCTGTTTTTGTGCCAGTATATATATATATATATATATATATATATATATATATATAATTTTAATACACTGTAGTTTTGTAATATAACTTTAGGTTCAGGATTGTAATGCTTCCTCACTTTACTCTTGCTTCCCATGATTGCTTTTACTATTCTGGGTCTCTTCTGCTTCCATATGAATTTTAGGATTTTCTCCTATTTTGATTGGGACTGTCTTAAATCTCAGTTGTGGAAGTATGGTCCTTTGACTATACTGGCTGTCTATTCAAGAACAGAGTATCTTTCCATTTTCTGATGTTCATTTCAATCTCCTTTCAGAGTACTATAGTATTCACTGTAAAGGTCTATCAATCCATAGTTAGGTTAATTTCTAAGTATTTAATTTTTCTTGGTGGTATTGGTGAATTTTTTCCCATAATTTCCTTCTCAGTGAGTTGGCATACAGGAACACTGTTGATTTTACACCCTGCTACATTGCTGGATTTGATTATTAATTCAAAGAGTCTTTTGTTGGATTTTTGGGGTGTCTTCTATGTTCATAATCATGTCATCTGCAAATAATGATTTTCAGACTTTTTCCTTTCCTAAACACATCACCTTTATTTTTTTTCTTGCCTAACTGCTCCTGCTAATGTTTGATTACTACATTAAACAGGAGTGATGATCATGGACGTTTTGTTCATGTATGTATGTATGTATGTACTTATTCACTTATTTGGTGCTAGGAATGGAACTCAGGACCTTGCACTTGCCAGGCAGGCCTATGCTGCTGAGCTATATTCCCAGCCCTTGTTCCTAATTTTAAAGCAAAAGCTTTCAGTTTCTCCTCATTTAGTATGTTGCAGTAGGTTTGTCATTAATGGCTTTCATCAGTTTATGATAAGGTCTTTCTATACCTATTTTATTTGATGTATTTATCATGAATGGATGTTAGATTTTGTCAAAGGTTTTTTCATCTACCGAGATGATCATGTGATTTTTGTCCTTGCCTATATGATAATATTACATTTATTGATTTGCATATGTTGAACCATCCTTGCATTCCTGAGATGAAGCCTACTTGATCATGATGTATGAAATGGGGATGGGGGTACCGGGAATCAAACTCATGAGTTTGCACTTGCCAGGTGTATGATCTTTTAGATGTTGTGTTGTATTGTTTGACACTATCTTGTTATAGATTTTTACCTCCATACTTATTAAAAGAGATTAGGCTCTAGCTCTCTAGCCTTGTCTGGTTTTGGAATCAGTATTAACGTTAGCTTCCAGGAATGACTTTGAGAGTATTCCTTCTCTTTCAGTTTCATTAACGAGCTTGAGAAGTACTGATGTTAGATACTCCCTGAAATTTTTATAGAATTCAGCAGTGAATCCATCCAGACCTAGGCTTTTCATATTTGGAAGGCTTTTTATTATTGCTTCTACTTCACTGCCTGCTACTGCATCATTCAGGGCTTTTATATCTTCTTAGTTCAGTTTTGGTAATTCATATACATTAACAATCAATTCATTTCTTTTGAATCCTCCAATTTACTGGCATACAGTTTTGTGAAGTAATTCTGAATTTTGGCATCATTCATTGTAATTTCATCTTTTTCATTTCTAATTGCGCTGAGTTTGACCTTTTTGATAAGACTGGCTAAGAGTTTGTCTGTTTTGTTTATTCTTTGAAGGAACCATATGTTTGATGCATTGATTCTTTGCTTTTTTTTTTTTTTGTCTCAATCTTATCGATTTCTGCTGATACTTATAATTTCCTCCCTGTATTTGCCTTGGGTTTGCACTGTTCTTGTTTTTCTGGAACTTTCAGGTGCATCATTTGCTTATCTGGTCTTGCTCTATTTTTGTGACACAGGCATTCACAGCTAGAAACTTCATTTTTTTTTACTGTGTCCCATAAATTCTGGTATGTTGTACTACCATTATTATTTAGTTCTAGAAACTCTCTTCTTTCTCTCTTGATTTATCCTGTAATCCATTGTTTACTTAAGAATGTATTGTTTAACTTCCGCATTTTCATAGTATCTGTGTTTTCTTTTGTCATTGATTTCTAGTTTCATTGTGCTATCACCTGATAACATGTATGGTAGAATTCCAATTCTTTTGCATTTACTTGAGCATGCTTTATCATTTTGACATATATTTTAATCTAAATAATTTTTTCAAATTCCCAAGATCTACCTATCAAGTATTCACAGAAACTTATGCTTACTATAAAAATAATATATAAGTATAAAACAAAATTCAGTTTAAAAATATATTACTTCTTCTAAAACCCTCTCTGATGTCATAAAAAATACCTTCAGGCGCATTATTTGCTCATTTGTGGTAGGGGTACATACTGTCAACTTTCAGAGATCAGCAAGATCTGAGCCTAAGTCATCCAAAACAGTAGGTAAGAGAAAGGTATTTTTTGTTTGTATTTCTCAATTTGACTCTTAAATTATTTTTTGCTTTTATTAAGTATTCTGAATCAAGAGCTGGATATTTATGAAAACCAAATAATCAGAAATTCTCTATTACACAAATGTTACCTACCAAATGAATATACTCCACTAATCTATTTGTAAATTTATAGTTTTCACATTATTTTAAGGTCATGAAAGTAACTGTTTTGCTTTGTTTTCACTTAAAGGTTTTAAACCGAAGTATATAGCACATTTAAGTTAAAACAATTAATCACATGAACAGAGAAAGGTTTGCCATCAATGTCTTTTATTGCCTCTATCTACTGTTTGCGACACTGCTTAATTTGCACAATCACAGTAAGATTTCAAATTGCATTGATATATAATACCAATGTAAATAAACCACTAACATCTGGTAATGCTTGATTTGTCCTAAAAGTATCACATTCTATAAAATAAACTTCCCAAATTAGTGATTTCTTTAAGCATGAAACATTTCCTAACATAATGCCTAGAAATCTAACATATATTGGAAAAACTTTTGTCTGCTTAAACTGAATATATAGTAAACACAATTTTCAGCATCCCAAGATCATCACATTGAACAGCTTAGCCATATCGAGCTGCACAAGAGCTGTCTCCCCTACATCGTGATCTCCCAACCTTGGAGGTACTTGAGCCCAGATGATTCTTGGTGGGGATCATTATAGGCTGTTGAGCCACCAATAAATGTAGGTGGTCACTTTACAGTGCAATGATGGCTTGGAAAGGTTAACTAATGGTCCACTCAATAGACTGAAGAACAAAGTTTCACTAAAAAGAAAAACCAGAGTAAAAATTATTTACTTTATTACAGAGTAAAAATGACTTACTCTTGAAGACTTTCTCCTCTCCCACAACAGAACTGCCTCTTTCCTAAGTGATGTGTCTATTTAGAATGTAAGACTTAACAAAGTATAAAATTAGTTCCTATGTGTACTATAACATAACCAAAATTTAATAAGCAAATATAGAAAATAGTAAGCTAAGTGAATATTTTATGTTTTATTATCATTTTGTCCTTTGAGAAGTACTCTACAAACATTTTTTAAACAGTAACCTAATGTATGTAAGTGTTATCTGAGCATGTGGAACACTAATTTTAACCACAATTAACTGAGTGAAGGGCACTTTATGGTCTTATTACCATCAATTCTCTTAATTATTCTATGATAGAATACCTAGGATATTTAATCAATTGGTCAATGTTTATTTGTATTAAATAGTACTTTTGATTTTTTGAGTACAGATGCTATGAGAGCTAATGATGCTAGAAGAGAGGTCAAGCTCCATTACCTTGTGTGGGAGATTAATATAGCATTTCCTGAAGAACCAACATTGAATTAGAGGCCTCTAGGACATGGCATTAAAACAGCAAGGTTGAACCAGTAAAGACTGAAGCCTCAGACAAAGCTGACACAGTGCATGGGGGCCAGAATATTGGAATTTATTTCTTAAATTTAATTTAATTTAATTTAATTTAATTTAATTTAATTTTTGGCACCAGGAATTGAACTCAGGACCTCATGCTTGCCAGGCAGGCACTGTGCCCCTGAGCTATATCCCCAGCCCAGACAACTGGTATTTCATAAGCTGTTATAAAGGATTTGGAATTTTAAGGGCAATGGGAAGTAACTGAAGAATTTCTGGTAGAAGAAAATGATTATAGGTTTCCAACAGCAATTCAGCTCACAAGCTCAGTCTCTACAAATTGAGAGAATCCTACTATTCCCTTCTGGTGATTATTAGCAACTGCCATGTGATTTAAGGCAGGAGAAGTGTGCTAGAGGTACTTTTGGTATTGTTCCCTAGCTCCAAAAAATGATCCCTCCTTCTTCCGAATATCACTAGGTCTAGATGTGATGCCCAAAACATGTATGGTCACCTTGCAACCCTGAGCAGATTGGCCTTAGAATAAAACTCATGTTAAGGGTCATAGAATGAAACAAAAGATAAATGGTTCTTTGCCAACTGATTGTATTACTTGGAGTCTACCCTATTTCTGGACTTCCACTAACATGAGATATTAAATGTGTAATGCCTTAATGCCAGTTTGAGTCAAGGATTTCTGTATGCTTCAGCCAAAACATCTTTGATATAATTAGCCTTGTGTTGGTGGTTAACTGAAATCACGAATGGGATGAGATTCTGCAGGGAGATAGAAAGTAAGCATAGTATATAGCACTGAGGAACTTCACATTTAATTCCAGGTAGTAAAAGAGGAGTTCTTTAGTCCAAACACAAAAGCAGCCTAAAGGTTATAAAGGAAAGCAAAAAAGTCTGGTAATAAAGATACACAAAAAAGGAGTGCTCAGGGAGGGAATGGCCAACAATGTCTACACGCTGTTGAAAGGTAAAGCAAAATGAGGATTTTGCAGCTCAGAGGTCAGAGCTGAGCTGACTATTGAAATCTGGAGCAGTTTCAATACTCTAATTAATGGTGGTATGAAGCTGAACTGGGCAGGCAGAGAAATAAGTGAAATAGAGAAAATAAAAATTATTATTTTGATGAGTATTTACAGACAGGGATCATGAAGAAAAGAAAATCTTAAAAATGAACATAGAGTCTAGAAAATATTTTTTGTTTGATTTTATTTTTGTTTGCTTTATTTTGTGGGTTCATTCTTGTTTATTTTGTAGTCATGGGAGTGACTGAGTATAACAGAATACAAACTGAAGGAGCTTGTACAGGAGTGGATAACAATAAAATAGGTAAAACAGGTGAGAAGTTTCAGAAAAGAATGTTCCATAGACAACAGGTGAAGAGAATGACAGATGTAGTAGACAGTGAGCACAGGTGTGTTTGCAGATCTGGAATAAAGTACGATAAATATGTTATTTCCTAATGATGGCTTTTCTCTCCTCCTGAAAAGATGGCCAAAGTTGACTCCAAGAATAAGCAAATAGGAGAAAGATATGAGGAACACAAAAAAAAGTTCAGGTAAGTCATCATGAAAAGTAGAACGATCTAATCAGAGAAATAAAGTATGACTAAAAGCCCAATGAACATGTATGTTGGTTTCCAAGAACCTGCAATGGAAGCTGCAGACAGGAGAGTGTTATGGTTAAACTCAGTCAGAACCTGGGTTTTCCCTGTACCGTATAGATACTGTAAAGATAAAGAGCTAGTTCTTTTGGCCAACTTTGCAACCCTGTGATTACTTTATAAGTAGTGCTTTGCTAGGTATTTTTAAGAAATTTTAAAAGTTGGTGTTCTCAGGTCAAGGAATTGGGAAGATAATTATAGAGATGAAACTTAAATAATAATATATGACAATGTAAAAGTAAGAACTAGTTCAGACAAGTTTTAAATAATACACAAGGTAAATTGAGGGATCAGATCACTATAGGATAGTGCTAAGAAGATAAACCTTGATAGGAACCTCAAAAGCCAACAACCTTTAAATAGAATTTAAGCTGATTATTTAATATACCAGTGCTGATTGTGCATTTTAAAAAAGGAAAGGATAAGAAGAGAAAACTCATTAAGAGAATAATCAGACAGTTGAATGCCTGATGGGATTATAACTGCTGAAGGAAAAAGAATGTAGAATCTTATATATATATATATATATATATCTGTCTATTGCTTTCTAGCACTTTTTAGGCCACAGCGCACAGAAAAGAGAATCCAAAATGAACCCATCTATCACTGAACTGAGGAGACCAAAATGAGAGATTAGAATGGCCAATTTTCAATTCAGTCTTTCTTTTTACAGAATTCCAGTTTTTCAAAGTCAATTACATTTTACAGATCAAGTTTCAGGCCCTCTTCCCATCCTATTATTTACAGTATTTAAGATCATTCTAGAAATGGTGCCTCTATTTAAGAACAAATACTGGGGCTGGGGATTTAGCTCAGCGGCAAAAGCGCCTGCCTGGCAAGTGCAAGGTCGTGAGTTCGGTTCCCGGTACCGGAGAAAAACCAAAAAAAAAAATACTTAGATAAGAACAAATACTGACCTCAACAGCATTATGCATCTAAAATTTCCCATTGTACTTCAAATCCAAAATTTTATTTTATTTTTTTTTCTTCTTCTTTTTTTTTTTTTTTTTTGGGTGGTACCAGGAATCAAACTCGGGACTTTGTGCTTGCCAGGCAGACACTTGTGCCACTGAGCTATATTCCCAGTGCTAAATTCAAAATTTTAAAGACTATTATCTTTAAACGAAGTTTGGTGGCACACGCCTGTAATCCCAGATATCCTGGAAGCTGAGGTAGAAGGATCACAAGATTAAGGACTGACTGGACAATTTAGAAAGATGCTGCCTCAAAATTAAAAGGCTAAGGATATAGCTCAACAATACAGTAACGGCCTAGTATGCAGGAAGCTCTAGCTAGGTTCAATCCAGAGCAACACACACACACACACACACACACACACACACACACACACATTCTCTTTAAAATGTAATTTTAACAAGAGCAGTTACAATACAATTCTTGTATGTATCTGATAATCAAAAATTGAAAACTAGGTAGATTTAAGAAACTCATTTTTAATGATTATTTGATCAATCTTGCATGTCTCTATTTGTTTTCCTGAGAAACCACTTTGAAGATATCAATATGTAATACAACAACCATTGTTAATTTCCTACCACTTTGTCTGTAACTCTGTATTGTTTGTATTGTTCTTATGCTATTTTGTAAATCGAAGTCTGTTATTATGTTTTCCTTCTTTTATTTTTAAAATAAATTTTTAAAAAACCAAAAAAACAAAAGAAACTCTGATTTAATATCCTTTAAAAAGAGAGAACTTTGTGCATTATCACTTGAAGTTTAACTGGGAAGATAGAAGAATACTAACACTGGAAAAAATATTAATACTAAATCCATTTTGGGGCCATCTCAGAGAGTCAGAAACATAGACAGATCATGAACAAAACATCCAAAAACTCTGGGACATGGTTAAATTCTGGTATAATAGAGGTGCAGGGGGCTGGGGATTTAGCTCAGCGGCAAAAGCGCCTGCCTGGCAAGCGCAAGGTTGTGAGCTCGGTTCCCGGTACCGGAGAAAAACCAAAAAAAAAGAGCTGTTTAATAGAGGTGCTAAGGTTTGGACTAATGGTACAGAACATCTATTCAATGAAATAATCACAGAAACTTCCCAAATCACGGGAAACATATACAGGTATAGGAGTCATTTAGAACCCCAAATGGCAAACACAGAAGAAAACCTCCCGCATCACATTAAAATATCAAGCATACAGAACAAGGAAAGAACACTGAAAACTGTGAGAAAGAGTAACTGCAGAATTCTCTACAGAAACTCAAAAGGTCAGAAGGACATGGAATGATGTATTTCAAATCTTAAAAGAAAATAACTGCTAACCTAGATTACTATATCCAGCAAAGCTGAAGGAAGAAAAAAGACCTTTCAAGATAAGTATCAACTAAAAAAATCTATGATCACTAAGTCAGCATTGCAGAAGATACTTCAAGAATCCTACACAGATAAGGAAGAGTAAATAAGCTATTGAGAATTAGAAGAGAATCAAACATTAGAGAAACAAGAAAATGACAGGAATTAATACACATCTTTCTCTAATAACACAATCTAAAAGGTCTTTAACTTCTCCAGTTAAAAGACAGACTGGCAGGTTGAATTAAAAAAACAAACCAACTCTTTGCTGCCTGCAAGAAATACACTTCACTAGCAAAGACATACACAGGATGGAAATGAAAGGATAAAAAAACAATATTCCATGCAAACAGAACCTCAAAGCATGCAGGAGTAGCTATATTCACATCTAACAAAGCTAACTTCAAAATAAAATTAGATGAAACAAAAAAGGCCACTATATATTGGTAAAGGAAACAATTCACCAAGAAGATATAACAACTCTAAATATATAGCCACTGAATACTGGTTTATCCAATTTCACAAAACAGATACTACTCAACACAAAGGAACACATAGATATCAACACAATAACAGTGAGTGACTACCATACTCAACTTTCATCAATAGACAGGTCATATAGACCAAGAAAAAATCAACTTGGAACTATCATAGTTAACTACACTACACAGCAAATGGACCCAATGGATGTCTAAAGAATATTCCATCCAGCCACTACAGAATATACATTCCTCTCCATTCTCCAAAATAAATCGTATTTTAGATGACAGAGTAAGCCTTAACAAATACAAAAATGGAAATAATTTCTTGTATCTTATCAAATTATAATAGAATGAAATCAGAAATCAACAGAAAGAGAAAACACAGAAATACATGGAAATTGAACAATATGCTTTTAATGATCAGTGGGTCTTTGGGAAAAAAAAGCAAGATTCCTAGAATCAAATGAAAATGGAAACACAACATACCAGAATCTCTGGGATACAACAAAGGCAATTCTAAAAGGTAAATTTATACCTATGAGTGTCTACATCAAAATGAAAGATAGATCTAATAAATAATCTAATGATGTATCTCTCAGTGTTAGGGGAAAAAAAAACCCACAAAACCCAAGAGAAGAAAAGAAATAATTAAGATTGGAAGTTGAAATTAAGTAGAAAGTAAAACAACAGTACACAAAAATCAACGAAATAAAGTGGATGCTCTGAAAAGACAAAAAGGATTGATAAAACCTTAGCTAAACTAACCAAAACAAAGAAAAAAAAGAACCAATTCAGTATGAATTGAGATGAAAAAGGAGATGCTGTAACAGATGCTACTAATAGCCAGAGAATTATTAAAATTATTTTAAAAACCTGTATTCTAATAAATTGGAGAACCTAGAAGAAATGGATATACACGTCAACATTGATGCAAAAATTTTGATAAAATATTTGCTAATGAATTCAACACATGAAAAGGATCATGTAACATGATCAAGTTGGTTTCATTCCAGGAACACAAAGATGGTCCAACAACATACACAAGTCAATAGATGTAAAACACAAAATAAATAATAACAAGGATAAAAATAATCTGATCATCTCAATTGATGCAGAAAAACTCTTCAACAAAATTCAACATCTCCTCAAGATAAAGAAACTAGATACTGATGGCTCACACCTTGAAACAGCAAAGGCCATCTAGGACAAACCCACAGCCAATATAATTCTGACAAGAAAAAACTGAAAGCATGCCCTTTAAAATGAGGAATGAGGCAAGGATGTCCACCTTCACTACTCCTATTCAATACAGTATTTGAAATTTTAACTGGAGCAATTAATTAGTTAAGAAAAAGAAAGAAAACAGATATAAATAGGGAAGAAATCAAATTATCCTTATTTGTAGACAAGCACAGACTTATATGTAAAAGACCCTGAAGACTCTACCAAAAGACTTTTAGGGAATGACAGATTAATTTAGCAAAGTACCAGGATATAGAATCAACATTTAAAAAAATCAATAGCTTTTCTATGTACCAGTAATGAGCTAGCAGAGGAGGAATTCCTTTCATAATAGCTTTCAAAAAATATCTAGGGATTGATCTAACCAAGGAGGTGAAATATTTCTACAACAATTTCAAAAACTGAAGACACTAGAAGGACCTTCCTTCATCATAGATCAGCAGAATATTGTTAAAGTGATCATATTACCAAAAGTGATCCAGATTCAGTGCAAGCCCCATAAAATACCAATGACATAAGAGGTTTGTAATAGCACAGGAAATAACAGAAGAATCATCAAATGGGACTGTATCAAATTAAAACGTTTCTGCATAACAAAGGAAACAACAAAGTGAAGGGACAGCCTACAGAGCGGGACAAAATCTTTGAAGGCCACTCTTCCAACAGAGGATTAATATCTAGAATATATTTTCTAAGCTAATTGTACTACTAATTTCTATTTGTTTATAGAAAGGAACAGTTAATGCTTATATTGTTTGATCAGTTTCACATACCTGTATCTGGTAATCTAAGCAATTACTTTGAAGATAACAGTATGCAATATAATAACCACTGTTAATTTCCTATCATCT